GGGCCTGCCACAGCCAGACGGGGAGCCTGGTATTGCCAAGCGAAGAGGAGGAGAACTTTGTCAGGAACGAGGTTCCATCAAAGGGTGCTGTGTCTGAGAACCAGGTCCGCAGGGGGACTGGGGAGATGCCGACGTTTCGTATGGTCACTGTTTCCAGAGGCAGCCAAAGGTGCATTCTCATCTGTGGGTGTGTTTGAGCTTCTCAGTTCTGGGAACTAAGAATCTCCACTTGCATAATATAACATTTTCAGAAGTTTGGACAAAGATGAGAGGGGAAACAGCTGGACAGAGAAGAATCCAAACCAAGAACCAGAAATGAGTGGACTGAATTCTCTGAGGGGCTTCATGCCAATCAGGACTGCCTCGGAGCTGCAGGATCGAGCCCCACAGCAAACGTGTTTGCTTGCAAAGGCAGTTGTCAGGTACAGACGGGTACCCCAGCCCATCGCTGCAGTCCCGCAGCTTTCTGCACACTCTTCCCAAAGTCTCTTACGCTCCTGGCTCCAAGGGAACGGCACCACTGAGACAGCACCTGCTGCCTGCAGCCTGCTCAGGCTCTTCTGCTCCGGACAGCCTTCTGCAAGGTGACGTTCCCTCCTGGCCCCCACCACTGCTTCAGGTAACGGAAAACGAAAACCTGTGCTTCACTGTGCCTCTGACCGAAAATCAGAGGAAAGTGTCGCTCACATTCACCAGCCTCCTGTAATCATGAAAGTAACAGCAGTCAAGTTAAGGAAGTACAACATTTCTTGTAGGAAAATCCTTTCTGTCTGTATTCCAAGCAACGCATTTCTATTACGTTGCAGTAATACACAACATTTTGGAGAGGTAATCCCAACAAACTTCGGAATGTCTTTAAGTATTCCCACCCTATGACAGATGTTAAGGGCAAATGTTCTCTTGTGGTTCACCCAGTGAACACGCCATTTCGGGTGCACTGGAGCTGACTTTCCTAACTGGTTTGGTACTGCCTAAAGAGAAGTTTATGCACACTGCAATTACTCCTAATAACCCTCATTCACGGGCCCACGCTCAGAGGCGCACGGCAAAGACTGGCTGCAGGGAACACCTTTCCGCTGGCACGAGCTCCTGTGCTTTAACAGCCCTGGCAGCCGCAGCGCGACTGCATCAAAGGCACTTGCAGCCTTATTAAACAACTCCAGTTCTTTCCCAACGCCAGACTGTCAAAAATCCCAGCAATACTAAAATGTTCATGGTGATCACACACACATAAAGATTTTAAACAAATGCTGACATCCCCTTTCTGGTGAAAATGCTGTTAGAAATCACGTCACCAGAATCTTAGAATTTTTAGTAGTTATTAAAGCTGAATCCATTGGAAAAGACTGAAAAGACACCCAGCAAGTATTTCAGTCAGCTTGATTTGGTGGTGGTAGTCTGCCCAAAACGTCTATACAGTCGGCACAGACCGCAGTGTTTAATTAAAAGAAGATTTAAAGCTGAATACAGTGTCAGGGGCTGCTAGAAAACCATGGCTCCCAGTTACAGTTAACAGCCAGGACTGTCCAGGAAGGGAACCTGCCGGATACACACAAATACTGTGAAACTTGCCCTTAAACTACTACTTTTTGAAAACAGAGCAAACTGTTAATTAGAAACACCCTTTTCCTCCTCTAAAGGTATGTGGTCATCTGGGCAGGCGCGATCAGGGCTGCAGAAGGTGTTTCCGTGAGCTGGTGGTTGCTGTGAGAACAGGCTGCCTGGAGAACGCCGCCCTGGCCGGAGCTCGTCAAACCAGCAGCTACAGGACCTGCCCTCGTAGAGCCGCACGGACTTTGATTTTCTCACTGAGCCTAAGAGAGTCCTGGAGACTCTGAGAAATTCTCTCAAGCAAAAAAGCTCCTCTCTCTCTCTGCGCTGTGAAACCTGTCTACTCTGTTTCTACCAGGTCTGAGATTTCTTTTTCAGTAGGAATTTTCCATGTGTCCTATGGGAAAATGCCCTCTGAATAGCTGCAGGCCTCCTCCTTCAGCGTGAATCACTGCAGAACCACGGCTGACGTGCCAACCTTGCAGCAGGAACTTTGTTCCTCTGAAGCCTGGGACAGGTTGAGTCTCTTTGGTTTTGGCAGTGCCCTCGAAGTTGCTTACTGCTGCTGCCTGCAGGAACTTGACTTTGGAACACATCCCCTCGTCAGTCCGACACTTGACTCTTAATAATAGTTTCCAGCCCATCATACTCTGCGGAGATTTGCCAACCAGATAACAGGTTAAAGGAAGTGCAAAATGTACTGAGTGACTTGTCTTTCGCTCGTCAGGGCTTGGGGTCCTAACTGATCCTTTCTTCCCACACAATTTTTGATCATACTCTAAGAAAATCTGTTTTGTTTTCCTGTCTCGGGTGCTGTACTCCCTGACGTGCGCTATCATTATAGTTCTGGGTTGACAGAGAAGTCTACTCCAGATTTTTAAAGCTGTTTATGTTTCCAGGGAAGCAGAGACAATAATGAGGTATTTCCAAAAGTACACACCACAGCCAGTTTCAAGTATTTGCCAAGTTTTACATTGCTCCCAGTTATTTAAGTATTCCAGTTCTTCAGGATCTTGTACATATTTTCCTCATACTAATTATTTAAATACTATATAAGTGATAACACTGAGAAATTAAATTATGTGTCCCAATATCGCTCCTGTAGCTGAACAGGAGTTCATACCTTTCAAGCTCAGCTCAAATCACTGAGTTATTGTTTCTTTTCTGCCATGAAAGAACTAGACCCCTGGACAAAACTCAGTTGTCCTGTGTCTTACTCTCCTAATTTCTTTTAAAACAGAACCCTTACATGACTTTATTTCTCATCTCCTTCAGTGCAGAAAATCAGGGCACCCACATGCATTTTTCACCAAATCACATTCCCTCTCCTTTGCAAAACCAGTAATTTTGAGAAAGTGAACCCTCTTTTTAAACAGCTAACAGCTGTGTGTGCATGTGCTACAACCTGCCTGTGCAGCACGTAAACATTCTTGTCTTTGAATCTGTTGGCACATTCAGTGAGTATGTGGCAATGCAAGGTTTGTGAAGACTGAAAAAAAAAAGAGCAATGATGGGATATAAAAGCAAGAAAGCCAAGAATTGTGTAGTGGGCAGATATTCAACACAGTCAGCTGCAAATCAGTTCTTGTTATCAGCGGTTCTTCCCACAAGGAAGTTTAAAGAACAAATAGAAAAGTTTGTGTTTGGATTAGAGATTCAAATGTTTTACGCCTATGATCTTCAACAGAAGAGAAACACATAGAAAGTTGTGATTTTAAGAGGGCATGTGCCAGGATCAGTAGGGTGGGGTGACCAAAGTTTTGATAAGCAGGAGATGAGATGAAGATCAAAAATGCGCACACAAAAGAGTGAAGAAGCACATTTTCACTGATGGAAGCAGAGGTAGAAAGGAAAAATTATCAGAAGGGACAAACACTTAAAGATTTGGAAGGTAAATTCAGAATCACAACCTGACTTGCCTCATTCATCCACGGAAGCATCTGTGGAGTTGCAGGCACCAACAATGTAGGTTAAAATGCTCACAGAGTTTATTTAACTGTAACTGCATTAGCAATCCCTGGAAGCAAATTTAGCGGGATGTGACAAGAGTGAAGTATACGCCAGTGTTGCTTAAGGTCAATAAAAAATGGTTTACAGGACAATTCATAAAAATACCCTGAAGTAATACGAGCAATTCTATAAAGCAGTGGTGACCAGTAAAGCAGAGCAGATAAAGGTAAAGCAGAACCAGGTCTCAGCCAGGAGCTTGGGTGTGGGCTGTTTCCACCAGTCTCTGCACTACTTCACTTTACGAAATGTGGCTTCCTTACCCTCAGATAAGTTGCAGATAAAGCAAATTCCCTTTGTTGTTACGTTTCTTTCAGGGAAAAGCTGACCCTACGATAAATTCCGTTTATTGTAGTGGGGGGAAAAAGGACCGGTGCAGAATGAGAAAAGCATCTTCTTTCTTGAGCAATACTTTGCCATACTGAAGGCTTTTCCAAGTGTTTAAGTACCTGTTACCACCTTAAGGGAGTCCCAGCAAAAACAAACACAGGCAGCCACTGAGGTGAAAGAGAGATGGAAAGTTAAAAGAAAATCAAACCCTTTCTGGAAACTTTGGATGCAGTTTAGTAATTACGCTGCTAATATGATTTGATACTAGAGACTTATGATCCACTTGGTGGTACAAATCAGATTAAACAATTCCTTCATTTGACAGTGTATCCCAAGCTTTTCCTCTCCTGACACTTTCAGAGGTACTTCCAAACTGCCACCAAGAGCTGCAGTTCTTTGGGAAGTTTTTCCGCGCGTGTTGCAGCCAACCTGACCTGCCCGCAGTACGTCGACGTTCGAACGGTGCCATGTGTGATGATGGCAGCTTTTCCTCAGGGGCTCGGAGGGAACACAGAGGCCTCCCAGACCCCAGTTTTCATGAACTGGATCACAAAACATTATGCATGCAGCATCATAAACAGGCATTTCATTTTGCAGACCCCCAAAATGCACTGCTTCGAGGTGCTGCCAGAGGAGTCTGGAGACAAACCAGAATATACCAGTATCTCATCTCCTTTAAGCTTGCATTTCTGCTCAGTGAAGAAAAGCACATAGACTTACATTCTTTATGCTCTAACTATGGACTTTAACAAAAAAATAATCATTCTGCAGCTTTCTTTTTGCCTGCAGGCAGACTGTAACTGCCCAATACTATTCTTTCCCCTATCCACAGGACTTGGAACAGGCACCTGCTGGGCAGGTTTTTCCTACCCAGAAAGGTAGGACATTCAGATCTACAGAAGGAACGAGCAGTGTGCCTTTGGCAGGCAGAGGGTCCTCTGTGTCACTTAGGAAATGCTGCACAGCTTTCCTGTGCAAGCTGGAGAGAGGTGGGAAGGCAGCGGGCTGCACGGGAAGAGAACTGGGCTGGGACGCCCACAGGCTGCAGCACCACAGCCGGGCAATGTATGGTACACGGAGTGTCCCAAGGGATACATTCTGTACCTGGGTCACTGCACGATTCCTCCTTCTGGTACCACCTCACCAGTAGACACAGACCCATGGGGCTGTTGATAATGGTGCCGTGGCCAGCTTCCAGTTGGTGTGTTTGTTCTTTTACCCTCCCTGTACTTGCCCGGAGTGCGACATTCCTCTCTGTGCAAAGCGAGTACGGCACCAACGTGTGCTCTGAAGTGCCCGATGCATTTTGATGGGTATGGAAAGATGAGACAGGCCCTCACACAAAGGATGCATTTCATTTGGCTTATCTTTAATTCTTGATTTTGGTATTAAACGGATTTCTCATTGAAACATCCCAGCATGCATCTTGTGCTGCAAAGGTTCTGTTTAGTGGAAGCACTTGCAGGTGGCAGAACATCTGCCCAGACCTGGCAAATGCTGGTGGGCAGCTTACTGCCTCTTCCTTTGAAGCAGTTCTCCTGGGGAGTGCCAGAGGTCTGGAGCAAGTGAGCGGTGGCAAGAGAAAGGAGAATGGAAGAAACGATGTGAGTACCCTCTCGTGTTAGGGATGCTCACGGAGGAGCTTGCACTAACAAAATCAACGTTGCGTTTGAAAATGCATCTTGGGTAACAGAGGACTTGAACATTTCAGAAATTACATTTTCCTGAACCTCAAGGACCACAAGACTAAGTGCTCGTGTTTCTTCTGTTCACTTCTCTCTTTCAGCAGCAATGAAAAGGCTGAATACACAACTGGGCACTTGTTTCTGCTGCTGCTCGCTCCCCAGGTGCTCAGGGAAGTTTAATGCTTCTCTCTGCTACAAATACAGCGACGGTTCCTTGGAAAGGATTCTTGTTTCTTTGGAAAACTGCACTGTTTCAGACAAGGCATGTTCTCTGTCAGACCCTCTCTTCTACTGTCAGCCAAAAGGAACTGAGAGCAATGAAAGTGAAAATCATACTTCTGAAAGATTTTTTTCCAAGGGAAATAAGGAAAAAAGAGAGGTGGGAACTTGTTTTGTCAAGGTCCACACACACTGCTCACCACTTGGGTTTCTTTGAAGCTCTGTTATCGGTCTACCAACTACTAATTTAATCACTCTCTATGAAAATTCTTTCCTGAGACGACATGAAGCAAGCTGCTGTGTGACTCCGCTGCGGACGCAGCGCTGGCTGCAGCAGGGCCGTGCGCTCCCAGCCCTCCTGTTTCCATGCAGGTAAACTCTAAGCGGATTTGTGAATGCCCCCTGGGCACGATGCCACCTTCTCTGCATCCCACCTTTTGCTTCAAGAAGCAGGGGTCAGAGGGAGGGGACCAGCTCCTGTGCGTGAAGGTATTTGGGAAAGAAACACAGCCCAGTTCCCAGCAACTGCCCAATAGGAGGAATTGCCGTGTTGGCAGAAGGCTGGAGGCTGATAAATTCCATGGTCTCAGGTAACACGCTCCGGAGACAACTCCCATTGTCACAGGCATAAAAAGGTGGGGTGGGGGAACGGAGCACACGCTCCTGCCTCAGGATCACGAGCTGTGCCAGCTGCAGTTGGGGTTAGGTCCTTGGGACTTCTCGCCATGGCCAGTTACAGCTTCAGGCAGAGCACCTCTTCCGTGGCGGGGGGACCTGGCGGCTCCGCGCTCCGCTTCGGTGCAGGCGGCTTCCGGGCTCCAAGCATCCACGGGGGGTCTGGCGGCAGGGGTGTGTCCGTCTCTTCCGCTAGATTCGTCTCTTCTGGCCCGGGAAGCGGCCTGGCTGGGGGGTATGGGAGCAGCTTTGGCAGCAGCTTCGGTGGTGCCTATGGAGGTGGTCTGGGCAGCGGCGACGGCCTCCTCTCAGGAAATGAGAAGGCCACTATGCAAAGCCTGAACGAACGCCTGGCATCTTACCTGGGCAAAGTGCGTGCACTGGAAGAGGCAAACTCTGACCTTGAAAATAAAATCCGAGACTGGTACCTGAGACGAGGACCAGGCCCAGTTTTGGACTACGCTCCTTTCCACAAGACTATCGAAGACCTTCGAGACAAGGTAGGAGTTAACCTTCCTTAAAAATTGTCTTAGATTTGCACTTAAGAAGCAAGCACGAAAACCCAAAGAGAACAATTTCACCAGGAAAACACCCAGAAGACATTGCAGCTTATGAAAAGGAGAGGAAGATGAAATGAATAGGTGATGATTGGGTGGGGTGGATAAAGAAAACGATCAGTATGGAATTATCTCCATTTTTAAATGCTAGCTAAGAGACTGCAGAACAGTCAGTCTGAGATGCCTTAGTACTTCTCTGATAATGCTTGTGTTTAACAAAGCATGAATCTACACACACACACACATATACACACACATGCTGGTCATATACACCCATATGACCAGTTAAAATAGATATATGACCATATACACACTGATAAATATAAAGAGAGCCAAACAATGACAGCAGCCTGCCTGTCTCTGCAGTCTGTTACGTGCCATAGAGCTTGAAAAACTTCAGAGTTAAGTACAATTTTGTAAACGTGAAGATAGCAGCTCAAGATTTCATCACTACACCTTTATTTTTCTTTCACGTTTCACTTACTTAAGCTTGGAATTGAAATAAGAGTGCTGAAACATTTGGCTTATGGAGAAAGGAAGTAGCAGACATGAAGTAATTGATCCCATATATAAATGCAGGATTTGCCCCAATCGCCCATGGGTACCTGATAACAGATCACTTGGAGATGATACACACCCCGGAAAACACAGGGAGTAGCTGATTAAACTGTGTAAATTAATGAAAGAAAACTTGAGGTTTCATTTTCACAGTTCAGCTTGGAGTTCATGACCGCTCCCACGCGGTTTACTGGCTCCTTGCTTCAACCCATTCACATTCTCTACTGGTTTAAAAAACTGAGCTCCAGTAAAGGCAGAACTGGCAATTAGATTTTCTCTTTCAGTATTCTTTTCCCTCCTGGCTTTTACTCCCCTTAGTTACGGGACAGAAAATGTTTTTGTGGATGACCTTTTGAATTTTAAAAGTGGCAGGCAAAACCCACATGCTTTCTGGTTAGAATTAACAGGGATTACTTCTAAATAAACAGAATTTCCTGTAGAGGCTTTCACGATGCATTAGAAGGATCAATAAACACTATCTTGGATATTCCAGGAAATACAAACGTGTTCAAAGACAATGCGATCTGAACCCTTATTGTTTATGAAACACAAACATGTCACTTATTTTAAAATCACACAGACTTTTTCATCACTTCCCACCGTAACAAAAACGCTAACTAGAACAAATTCTGCCAAGAGGGGTCTGCAGACTTTGCTTCCCTTGCATCTCTCCAGGAAATGGGCTTCCTGCCTAGTCCTAAAGCACCACCTGCCCCCCGGCTCTCCAAAGGCCTCTTGTCTCACTGTGGGGCTTCCAGCCAAAAGCCACTTCCTATGCCAGGCAAGCGTCGGAGGACCTGTCCGTAACTGGCAATCATGGCAAAAGTGCTGTGATAAACCTGTGCTACGTATTTGCTACGGATCATGGATACTTTCCCACTGAGAGTACAGAAAACACATTTTTATTTGGTGTAGCTGCAGATTAAATAAAATCTGAACACTTTTATCTTCGGATGAGGACAGCAGGTGACACAGCTGTCTCAGCCTCAGCGATGAACTCTCACTGTTTGCAGATCCTCGATGCCACTACGGACAACTCGAAGATCGTTTTGCAGATCGACAACGCCCGGCTGGCGGCTGACGACTTCAAGAGCAAGTGAGTAATTTCTGAAAGGAAAAAGGTCTGTTGAGCAGGGAAAAATCCTCGTTGAGTCAAGGGCAGTGGCCATGAAAACAAAAGGAATGCCTGTAAAATCTCTGTGCGAACACGAGTTTGATCCTGTCGTGGCATTTCAGCCCTTGGTGTATTTGCGGAAAGCACCGTCTGCACCGCAGAGAAGTTTATAGAATGTAAAATGTGTGGAGAAGAGTTTAATGCTGGACACCATTTGCTACACCATAAATCCTACAAAACCAGGCATGTTTACAGCAGATGGTAACATGTTTCGTGGTGGGCTGGCTTCATCAGCTTAACCAGAACAGGTTTGTTTTTCTGTTTTGAGGTTCGAGACGGAGCAGGCTCTGCGCATGAGCGTGGAGGCCGACATCAATGGCCTGCGCAGGGTCCTGGACGAGCTGACCCTGGCCAGAACTGACCTGGAGCTGCAGATCGAGAGCCTGAAGGAGGAGCTGGCCTACCTCAAGAAGAACCACGAGGAGGTAAAAAACCCCCAAGAAACACGTTTGAAAGTGACATTAGAAAAACAGTGTGTGTTGAGATGTGGAGTCCCTCCGGATTGCCCCGGGCTCTCCAACAGTGAAGAAAAGACTTCTGTGTAGACTGGGAAACTAAAGATACCCCTGCAAGTATGTAAGGGAGTCAGTCCGACCTCAGCCCTTGAAGAAAGAAAGTTCCTAACATCTTCATTTGTGATTTTAACCTCTTTTGTCTTCCTCTGCCATGTCCACACAGGAACTGAGCGCCCTGGGAGGGCAGGCAGCTGGGCAGGTCAGCGTTGAACTGGACTCTGCTCCAGGCGTTGACCTGTCCAAGATCCTGGCTGACATGAGAGACCAGTATGAACACATGGCTGAGAAGAACAGGAAGGATGCTGAGGCCTGGTTCCACAAGAAGGTAGAAAAAACTCCATACTACACAAACACTAACCAAAAAAATCCATGAGAGAAACTAATTACTAACCCACCCAGCAAACTGCTGTGAAAGCCTTAGGACCTCTGCTTAGAGGCCCCACACATCTCACGTAACGCTTGCCCTGTTTCAGACTGAAGAGCTGAACCAAGAAGTCGCTGTCAACACTGAACAACTGCAGAGCAGCAAGTCTGAAGTCACGGACCTGACACGCACCCTCCAAGGGCTGGAGATCGAGCTGCAGTCCCAGCTCAGCATGGTACGTCCGAACGGCGCCGCGTGAACCACCCCCCACTGGCACGGGGGCGTACTCCCCTCCCTACAAGGAGTCCTGCATCTGGCAGCAACTTTCCTGAGATTTGCCCCCACCCTCTCTGCTCCCAGAAAGCCGCGCTGGAAGGCACCCTGGCCGACACGGAAGGGCGTTACGGTGCCCAGCTGGCACAGATCCAGGGCCTCGTTGGCAGCATCGAGGCGCAGCTGGCTGAGCTCCGGGCTGACATGGAGCGCCAGAACAGCGAATACAACATCCTCATGGATATCAAGACTCGACTGGAGCAAGAGATTGCTACTTACCGACAACTCCTGGAAGGCCAAGAGTCCCAGTAAGAAACTCTGCTCACTGCAGAAAACCTTTCTGTGTAGCTTCAGAAAGTTTGACCACACCATGATGCTCATTTGCCACAGCCACAGTAAACAGAACTCCAAATACTCCCGAGGTTCTAAAACTTTTAACTGATTTTTCTGGACCACGTTGGAGCTAGAAATGTTGCAACTCACATTTACATTAAGCGAGTTCCTTGAAGAGTTTCTGAAAAAAAAGGCAAACTGACAGGCAGCACAAGAAATTCGTTGCAACTAACAGTTCGAGTGATAACTAGTCCTTAGCTGCCTGACATCCGTAGCGCAGTTAGTAATGGTTTATAGAACACAAGGATTAACACCAAATTCCCATAAACTTCCTGTTAGCAGTTAAACAGCTCATAGGAATCAGTGCAGAAGGACATATCTGCAGAGAAGTGAAGGCAGCCAAGGTGCTGCTTTCAGACAGCCGCTAAGTGGACCTCCCACATGGTCGTTTCACACATAGCCTCAAGGAGGAAAGTATCTCATGGCCGTGAACAAAAAAATTAGGAAGGAGTTGAAAGGTTTTGATTTCCTCTATTCCTTCATTCCATAATTGTCTTTTCCCACGGCAGTTGTTGAAAAATACATTTCCTACAACAATTCCCGCTCCTGAGCTGAGAGGGAGAGCAAGGAGATGATCGTCTCTTCTCTATGTACCAAATCTGCCTGACAGAGAATTTGCTTTCATACATCCTCATCTCACGCAGCACTTTGTTACCTCTCCTTCCAACTGTTATCTCTTTGTTTTACAGGATGTTTGGTTCCCTTTCCGGAACTGCTGGTAAGAATCCTTTCTCTTTCAGGACACCTTTGGGAGTCAAAGGACTCACACACACACATTACAGCAGTCGTGTCCATTTTAGCAACTGGGCTGCTGCACTGATCTGTGTCACAGAAAAGAATCTAATAAGTAACAAATGATAGGTAGAAATTAACAAATTTCAGTCATTAAAAGATGTTAGACATCAGAAAAAATCTCAGACTGTGCTACAGTAAAGGCCAAGTAAAGCACAAAATGCTTAATCATTCCCCCAGATGAAAGGATACAAGAAATGTAAACTTGGCCAGCTCAGGGGAACTGTACAAACACGCACGTAAAACTTGCCTTGAGCTTTCAAAGGTCAGCTGTATCGTAAAAATGATGTATGATTCAAATCAATGCTATGAAGAAGAAAACTTCTGAGAGAAGAGAATGAGAGATGAGACACAAAGTAAGCTCAGCCCCCACTGCAGAGTGGTCTCGGGTGTGTTCTGCTCAAGTAACTGCTGTTCTTTCTCTCCATACCATTGTAGACAAGAGAGACAAGGTGGCGGATGGAAAATAGTACTGCAAGTCCTCCAAATATCATCTTCAAAATAAGAAAAAGCATATGGGAATTGAAACGGAGAGGAAGCACTCTAAACTGCTGGGAATCACTATCTTCAAGCACAGAAAATTCTTGGCCACACAAAGTTTAGGTAGATTCATCCCTTTAGTGGTGATTGATTCGCAAATCGGGTTGGCTTTTCGACTGTTTCTAGTTCTTTCGTGTACTGCATTGCTGTATCTGCTCCAATAAAGATGATCTTCTCGCACCCTTAACTCCTTCTGGGTTATTTGATATTGTCACTGAAGTTTCACTTCGGTCAGGCAGGAAACAGCTTGCCCGCAGGTTAGTGCTCAGTGTCTGCGGGCGGGTGCCTTCGGCTCCAGCTCCCATTTTTTCTGCTCCTCTTGCTGGCAGGAGCTCTGAATATGGAGCAACTCAGCCCCTCCGAGTGGGGAGTCCAAGAGTGATTTATGTTTCTAACTACAAGAGCTTTGCTCTCGGAAGAGGAGTAC